TATATATAATAGGTATAAAATGGTATAATAGATTCAATAGGACAATTAGGCATGGACATAGAGTGGTACACACATTGTTTTTATAGCCATGGGAAAGTGGCCAACTATATCTGGGAGTGATAGTCTGACTTGATTTCTTTGACAACAGATTATTCTCAGCTCTCTAAATGGTATGGTGCTTGTTTTGTCAATTTAAAAAAATTAGATCTGAGCATTTTGTAACTTTTTAGAATGCTCAGTGTTGATTTGAATAAGCAGGAATCAGTTAATAGTTTTTTGCCAAAGCATCTTTACATTTATTTTGGCCATTTGTAGTGCTAAGTTGGAAACCAATAAAATAACCTTTAGTGAGGATAAGTGTAGGGTCCCCTGTAATTTCTAATAAAACTTTGTCTCAGAATCCTAGATTGAGCAAAACTTATAGGGAAAGAAAACATTGATTACAAGGGTTAGGAGTGGGGGCGGGGAGATGGTCTGACAACAAAGGGAGTTTGGGGGAGCCAGAGAACTATCCTGTGTCTTGATTTATGTGGGATTATATATGACTCTACTTCTGTCAAAATTCTCAGAATCCGTATGCCCCCCAAAAGTAGATTTTACTCTATGTACATTTCTGAATTCCAGATTGTTTAAAGGAAAGCATGAACCTGTGGGAGAAGTGTGTCATAGAGGAGCGAGCTAGCTCTCTGTTTTGAGATGAAGGGAGTGGCAAAGATGTTTCTAATAAGAATTCTAAATAGTACACATACTTTCAAATCACTGTAGAGACACAAAGCAAATAAAGAAGTTGATAGGACAAGAAGTAGAAAAGAAGAAATCAAAATAAAACATGAACTTTGGAGAGCGGATACATGTTATGAAGCTATCAAGGACTCGGTGCATGAATCCTGCAGGGGGGGAGTCTGTTGTATGTAACTTGTTGGCAGTAGCTTGCAGTCACTATGGATGCCCTTGCTAATTTGCATTGAACATGGATTATACATACACAAACAAGTAGATTAATAATTAAAATGGTGGTTTCTTTAAACCCAGTAATACTACTTTTAAGGGTTTTGCCCTAGGAATGTGTCTGAAGATTTATTTGCAAGGATATACATAAAGTAGAAAGGACGAGCAAGCATTAAATCGAGCCCTTGTTCTTACCTACATCACCTTTAAAAACCACTTTCAACATGAGAACATTCTTAATGCTTTCATTAAAATTTTCAGCAATACTATATGCAAAATAGTCTTGATATGATGCTATAGGATAAGCACAGGACTGCTAACCAGGAGGTTGGTGGCTCAAACCTAGCAAATGCTCCTTGAAGCTCCTATACAGGCTTGTTAATGAGGCTAAATTGACTGGACGACACTTTACAACACACTCCTCTTGGGAGTGCAGTAACTGTAGGATAGCACTGGACTGGGAGCCGCATGGTCGTTGGTTCACACCCACCAGCTACTTCTTGGAAATCCCATACAGCACCGCTATGGGTCTACAGCAAGCATAAACAACAATAAATAAATAATAAAGGTGTGGCAGCAAGTTTTTTTTTTTTTTTTTTAACGTATGAACACTTTTAAAAATGCATCCCAGACTCATAAGGAGCTTACTTTGAGTTATGATTGCTTTTACTATTTATCCTTCAGGTTTTTCTGTGATGTGTGTTACTGTAAATTGACGAGGCAGATAGACTCATCAACCCCGTTAACTGGGGTCCTGTAGTTTACCGATAAAGACTCACCATCCCCGATAAAGACTCACCATCCCCGTTAACTGGGGTCCTGTAGTTTACCGATAATCCCCGTTAACTGGGGTCCTGTAGTTTACCGATAATCCCCGTTAACTGGGGTCCTGTAGTTTACCGATAATCCCCGCTAACTGGGGTCCTGTAGTTTACCGATAATCCCCGCTAACTGGGGTCCTGTAGTTTACCGATAATCCCCGCTAACTGGGGTCCTTTAGTTTACCGATAATCCCCGCTAACTGGGGTCCTGTAGTTTACCGATAAAGACTCACCATCCCCGTTAAAGACTCACCATCCCCGTTAACTGGGCTCCTGTAGTTTACCGATAATCCCCGTTAACTGGGCTCCTGTAGTTTACCGATAAAGCTTTGGGAATTGCTCTGTCATTTGTTGTCAGGTGCCATTGAGTCGGTTCCGACTCATCGACCTTAAGCACAGCAGAACAAAACACACTGCCCAGTGCGCCATCCTCACAACATCCTCTGTCATCTAAAAGTGATTGAATGCCCGGCTCCGGTTGATTTATATGACTGTTGAAGGCAACTAAGTTCTACCCATTGTATGCTTTTAGGATTAGAGGCGTTCAGGGGTGAGTGGGTCCTCGGGACCTTACCAGACCACTCTGGATATAAGCAGAAACCAAAGACAGCTGCTTTTCACTACCCACTCAGTTCCTTGAGAGGCTGCCTAATGTTTCCAGATAACTACCAGTGGGTGTTGTGTTGTGTAGGGTTTCTGAAACTGTACGTACTTACGGGAGCAGAAAGCCTCATCTTTCTCCCATGGAGCCGGTGTGGCTGCTGGGTTCAAACTGCCAAGCTTGTGGTTTGCAGTCCAGGGCTTATCCTACAGAGCCACCTTTTTCCCACCAATGGGTAAAACATTCATATTGTTGGTTAATCACTTGAGTGGGAAACAAGTCATTTACCTAGAACAGATTTAGCCCAACAACACCGTTTTCAACTTTCTCCCGTGGAGAGACTGGTGGGTTCGAACCACTGACCTTGGTAAACTGCCAAGCACTTAACCACCACACCACCAGGGCCTCTTCCTTTCGAGGTTACTCATCCAGAGTTCATGCAGGCCCTTGACGTGTGACTTCTTTTTCCATCCTTGGCATTTACCTGCATTGTAAATTGCTGCAGGTAAAGCTGTATGCTCTTCATTTTGATGATCTTATCGCACATTCTTGGTGACTTCCTTGTATCTCTTTTTCTCACCAAGTATTCAGTGTTTGGAACACAGTGCGCATTCAGTAAAAGCCGTTGTTTCTGGCCATCACTATCCTTGTGCGTCTTAGGGAGCCTGTGCTTTTGTGCTTGATGGGTTGTCCAGCATTTAAAGAAAAAGTAAAGGTTATCTTGAAAGAACACTTCAACAGTACTGCTTCCAATCCTTCCTAACCAACAGTGCACGTGAGGGGGGCTTCAAAACGTTTATGGAAAGTCCCATTGTTAATTCCATTTTTCGAAACCCTCTCCTATTTATAAAGATGTAAATTTTGCTTTTCTGCCTCAGAGGCACAGGTGAAAATACCCCAGAAGACAAGGTTTTCTAATGTTCCTCATCACACAGACAGCTCATCTCTGTGATTCGCTTTAGTCCCAGCACCCCTTGCTTTGGAAACACAAGTTAGAAGTCACCACTGTCTTGTACTTTGTAGTTAGCCTTCTTTGCCCTTGAAAGTTCTTTGATTTTCATGATCTGGTTCTTAGTTCTGCCTGCTTGATTGCTGGCCCCTTACAGCTTAAGTGCTGGGTCACCTGGGCACAGTCTTAACTACAGGGGTGTATCCCTCAAGTAATTCTGATATGCAGCCAAGTTTGATAAACCATAAGTGAAATTTTCTTGAAAATCTTCAGAAGACAGTTTTTAAAAACCAGCATGGTGGCAGCATCTGACCTTTTACTTTACCATGAGGATGGAGAATCAAACTAACATCAGTACCAAGCTGATTCCTCTGAGGCAGAGGTCAGACATGCGTCCCCACTCCACCCTTTCTTAACAGTCATCCTTCCCACAGCTGGGTTCAATAATGCTTTGTAATGGCCATACAGACAAATATGCACAACCATGGGGCTTCTTAGGATAACCAACAGGTTACAATTCAGGATCAGAACTGTTCAGGATACAATTCTTGGTCAGGACAGGCACTCTGCTCCGCTATAAGGAGCTATAAGCCTCAGCCAGAAGCTGCTCGGCTCTAGCTCTGTGTGTCAGTAGACCTAACAATTTCTGGAGTCACTTCCCTGCCAGAGGGAGCCTTGTCCCCGCCACAGGCACTCAGCTTTACTCACTTCCTGGGTCTGAAGCCCACTCCTCTAGCGTGTGCACTGGCTCTTGGTTCTGTTTCTCCTCTGGTGTCACAGCTCTCTAGTTCTCTTTCTCCTGGGTCCAGGAGGTTCAACACACGGGGATCTCAGACATCAAGCTATGTGTGCTCCACTCTTGACTCATTATGGTAGTAAGCTCCCCCGCCTCCTGCTTCTGAGATGGCTTATATATATATACCCAGCAGGATGACAGAATTGACCAAGCCCCTCTTTGATTATACAACCACAATTAACCCTGTTAACAGTCATTCACAACCGAATCATAATTCTATCAGCGTCTTCCCCCATCTTCTTACCCATACCCATCAGGAAAGGCATTTGCGAGTTACAAGGAAAAACCGGCTAGAATAATAAACATTAAATTATGCACTGCACTACAGCTGCTCATAAAGAATGTGTAAAAGGTCGATTCTTTCCATATAAAATTACCCCACACACACCCAAAAAAAGACTGAAGAAACAGAAAACCAATGCATTGCTGTCTCTAGATTACTGGATTTGTTATGAGACAGTTTTGCAACTATATTTTTTGTTCATCTTGCTATATTTAGAGTTTAACCCTCAAATCACCATCTATGTATCCCCATTCCCACAATAAAACGGGAAACTATGAGCAAACAAAAGGTACTAATTACAAGGAACAGTAAAGATCAAAATCCTGAGTTTAGTTACAGTAGTTAGTGCTTCCGAAAACTAAAAAGAGCCCGTCTTACTGGATTAAACAGTTTGTTGTACCATAGTTGTAGATTCTAGCAAGGATTTTTAATTGAAATAGTTTGGCTTTTATGCCAGTATTGTATTCGTTTATTGATTTTCATGTGCTTAAAAACATGCCCTGATTCTGGTAACGTGAAGTAGTTTAAACGGGGGAAATACTCTCGGATTATTTCTGTCAAAGATTTATACTCATGGTCTTGTTTTTGTCCTCCCCCCTCAGGATGTTGCCTCAGAGTGTGAAGTCAAATGCATGCCAACATTTCAGTTTTATAAGAAGGGGGAAAAGGTATGTACAATCCGACCTTTGGAGCAAACTGTCTAGGAAGTAGGGAAATGTGGGGAAGATACAAGAGAAGTGACTTGTGCCCAAATAAGGAATCCTCATGCCTCCTTTTACTTCCTTGTGTACAGATGTAAGCATGTAATGGGACATGTCACTTCACATTGTTCTTTGCTGGAACTAGTCCCTGCAGTTGGTGCTTCATGTTTATATCATAATGTGCTTAGAATTCTTAGACTTAGATTATTCATAGGTAGCTATTATGAAGTATTTCTGTTTAAAAACATTAATAACATCAATTCAATATTCTCTTAACAGGTTGGTGAATTTTCTGGTGCTAATAAGGAAAAACTTGAAGCTACCATTAACGAATTATGTTAATTATGTTTTCTGAAAACATAACCAGCCATCAGCTGTTTATAAAACTTTTTTTATTTACAAGAAAGAAAAATCAAGTATGAAGACTATATGCCCAACTTCCATCTGATTATAAATGACAATAAAATATTAATTCTACCCTTTTTAAAACATTGTGGTGTCTCTTTGAATGGCTTTCAAAATAAATGAGAAATAGCCATTATGATATTTAATGCCGCATGTAGCTTAGTGGTTACGAGTCGGGCTGCAAACCACAAGGTCAGCAATTCGAAACTACCAGCTGTTCTGCGGAGAAAGTTGAGATTTACAGCCTCGGAAACCTTGTACAGGGTCGCTATGAGTCGGAACCGACTCCACGGCACATAACAACATACCTGACACATCAGGAGTCCTGGTGTAGGATACGCAGTAACTAGACCACAAGGTCAGCGGTTTAGACTCACCAGCCACTCCTCGGAAACCCTGTACAAGGTTGCCATGGGTCGGAACTGACTCTACTGCACCACCACCAACATACCTGACACTTCAGTAACCTAGTAGACCACTAAGGAACCCTTGTGGTGAAATGGGTAAGCTTTCAACTGCTAACCAGAAGGTAGGTGGTTCACACCCACTCAGTGGCTCCTTGGAAGAACATCGTGGCAGTCAGCTCTGGTCCCTTAGGGATTACAGCCTAGAGCACCCTGTCGAGAAGTTCTACCCTCACATAGGGTTGGCAGGCTGGCAGCTGACAGTGCATGGCCAGGGCATGATAGGTGACCCATTGAGACTCGAGCTTCTGTCAGCAAAAAAAAGTGTATGATGTGCACGTCGTTTGTGTAGAAGTACTGTGCTCTTTAACAGTGGCTACATTGCTTTACTATGGACCAGGTGTTTAGAGGAGCTATTGTGTTACTTGAAGGCTACTGTTCGCTATTAGTAAGTCAGTAACCATCAGTATAACTGACTTAAAAATAGCTCTGGTGTCCCTAAAACAGTTTACTAATAATCCCAGAATAAAAGCACTTTTTCATTAGTTCCCAAATTCATGTCATGATGAAGTTGAATGATAGGATTTACAGTTCTGACTCAGTGACCCTGTATTAGGGTTTCCCTTGTAGTTCAAACCAACCTTGAGGTCCAGTGCTTACCCTACAGTGCCACAGCAAAACTCCCATCATGGCTGTGCCATCATTTTTATCTCCATTTCACTGTTACAAACCAAGATGATTACTGCTTTTTATTTGGCTGGCTGGCACCCTAGTGAAAGAGGCTCTTTAAAATGTGTGCTTACAATAGAATTGTTGGGTGGTAGAAAGTCTCCAACTTTAATGTGAGGATCTTGTTTGAAATGGCAGGTTCTCATTCAGGCACTGCTGCCCATGGACCATGTTTTGAGTAGAATCTGAATTTGTT